TAAATTAAATTTAAATTCAAGATTTTATTAACATTGATTGAATTTATAGTCCACTAAATTGCCTGTATTTTATTGCTAAGCTTGAATACACCCTAATGAATTATGACCTAGAATTTTAGAAGATTCAATGTAGAGGTTATATTTTCGACCTTAGAAAGTGTCAATTTTTGTTTGACTTTTGCAACCTTGACGAAATGGTTTGTCTTCTGACAATTTAGTTTCGATTCTTGACGTCAGATAAAAATAGTTTCATCTGTTGTACGTCAAATTAAAATTTGCGTCAGATCAATATTCAAGTAGAATTTTATTAGGTAAAGGTAGGCATTAGCTGTATTTTAAATTTAATTTGACAACAAATCTAAATTTTTTATTTGCATAACTTAAAAGGCGTCGACTAATAAAAAAAACCATCGCTTTTCATGTAAATAGCAACCACGAAACTCAAAGCCTTCATATTGAAATCATAAAAAAAAAGTTGTCGATAGCATTCTTCGTTTTTGCAAGTTTTTTCTTTCGCCTCTTGTCGGGGGTTTTCCAAATTTCGTCTTTCATCTTTCGCAGTGGTCATATGGATGGGCTTCTCTTAACAACAATGAAGTGTTGATCCGCGTGACAAGTTGAAATAACTACGTATTATCCATAAAGAAAAAATTTGCCCATTTTACGTATGACAAACAATATGTGTTTCAGTAAAATCCCAAACATTATTCATTGACACAGTTATATATATATATATATGTATCTTTAATTTAAATTATATAAAGCAAATTACGCCAATTGGCGTCCCTTCTGGTAAAAGGTTAAAAAAAAAAAATTTATATTATGCTTATAATTTTCTTTCCCTTAAATACAAAATTTTCAAAATAAAAATTTTATTAATTATCTTAATGCCGTTGAAATTTTATTTCATTTTCACTATTGTTCTGATTCTTCTTTTAGTTGTTACGATCGATCATGCATTTGTAAACGCTGGTAAATTATAAAACTGTGTGTTCACCATATTACATACATATAAATAACATGATACAATTTTAGATGATCCGTGCGCACCACCGATGGAATGCAACCCGCCATGCGATGACAATCACGTTTGCATTTTAACTGAAAAAACATATTCAAAGTGTCCAGAGCGGATTTGTCAACCAAAGAATAATCCAAGTAATTATCAAATTAAATATTCAAAATAATCGTTTTCATTAATAAGTAAGGTTTAACTTATTTTTTTCCGTTTTAATTATTGTATAGCATGTGTTACATGCCCTACAGCTAACTGTCCAGTATGCAACTCTACCACTGAATGTTGGACTCAGAAAAATTTCTGTTATACCTGTGGAGGTGCCTATTGCGTCACATCTTCTCAAGGTAAGTAGTATATTGCATATCTTTCATTATTAATTTTAGAACTAAAATCCAACCAACGTTAACAAAATGAAATATCAGATTGCATTATTTGTCCCCAAGTAATTCCACCATGCGATCCGTATCCTTGTCCTTCTAATTATAAGTGCTATTATATTGGCCAAGATTGTTTCACATGTGGTCAATCCATATGCGTTCCTGAAAGTTATAATTGAACTAATTCAAATTAATGAATCTCAACAATAATGTCACAATCTAAATTATGAAAAATATATGTATTGTTACGGGGTGAATTGTATGGTTTTATTAACTTATACACGAAAAGATATAATTTATGTAATAAGGCAACTCGCCAGGGGCGTGACGTTGGTGATTTGACAATAAGTTAGTTTATTAAAAACTTTATCAGGGTGATTTATTCAAGATATTATAAAGGAATTATTGGAATCCCGTAGGATGTCCTTTTACATGAGTGAAATCGCAGTGCTTTTATAGCTTCTGCTATCTTAACGAAGTCAAGGGGCTTAGGGAAAATAACTTATTTCAATTTTAAGGGAAACTCATACTAGTGTGGGGGCTTACATGATTATTACAACATGATTAAAGAAAATACGAAGGCAACTTGCAATATTTCTTATTGCAACTCCCTAATTAATTCCTTAGTTTCTTGTTCTTCGCTCTTCTCTTTCCTCATTTTCAGGTTCTTCGGATTTCGCGTTGGTTATAAGGCTGGTTCAGCCGAGGAGTCATCCTTTATCTAAGCCTTAAGCTAAATTAAATACCTGTTTCTATGTTTTATTTGGCCGATAAGCCTCAACCGATAAACTAGTATTTTGTTGTTAATATTTTCTTCATCACAGGTTTTGCTGCAATCCTTCTTTGCCCGTGACAGTATCTATAAATTGATAATAATAATAGTGTGATGGGTGATGAGAAGAGCCACCTATT